AAAAGTTTTCTTATAGACTGAAAGGTCCCATTACAATGTTAATAACATCAGATACAATGTTAATAACATCAGAGTCATGTTACAAACATTGGATTTCAAAAAAAAAGGAAATTTAAGAAAATTTGTACTTTCTCTCTTCTTATTTGATTAAATTTTAGAAAAATGAAAAGAAAATATAACTTTGGGGGATGCACCAATAAATCCCAAATTAATAACTTATGCACTGTTTAGTCCTAAAAGTTTTCTTATAGACTGAAAGGTCCCATTACAATGTTAATAACATCAGATACAATGTTAATAACATCAGAGTCATGTTACAAACATTGGATTTCAAACATCTAATGTTCATTAAATTTCAATAATGTTTGAAAATATAGGATGAAAAACATCTAATGTTCATCAGATTTCAATAAATTTTGAAATTATAGAATAAAACATCAGATCATTTACATCATTCACATCATGTTGATGTAAAAATGGGACTAAATGGAGCATAAGAAAATTTTTAAGACTAAATGGTTCAACGTTTCAAAAACTAGGACTTATGGGTAAATTTTCCATATAATTATACCTTATTTGGATAAATTACTTAAAAAAGAAGGAATAAATTATTACAAGATATATTGTTAAAACCCTTTATGTTTTTATTTCGTTAACACCTAGATGTACAATTTTGGCACTATAAAATGTTTGTAATCGGTCAATTTATTTTTCCTCTCAACTTTTTGAGAATTCAAAAAATAACTTTTAATATAAATTAATTTATCTCAATTCTTTATTATTCTCTTTAGTAGTCTAAATAAGTGATTGGAATCTGTTGTCTTCCCTTTTAAATCACTTTCAAATTAGCTGTAACATAATCAAATATTTTAAAAAAATGAAAAAATAAAAGGGAATTTTTTTAGGGTCCCTAGTATTAAAATTTTATATCATAAAGGATGCTTAATATTTTCATAATGTCTAAGGTCCCTCAACATTGATCCAGAGAAATTTCAATCCAGATAAATTCTTTTCCGAGAAATACAAACCAGAGAAAATTCAAATTTCTCTGAATTCAAACTAGAAAAAATTGAACAACACGAAGAAATTTAAATAGGGCAAAGAAAATTATCTAGAGAAAATTGAAATTTCTCTGACTTTATTCAAAGAAAATTGAAATTTCTCTCTAGAGAAATTATGAACTTCTCAGAGAAGTTCTTAACTCAAGCCTTCGTCATCTTTTTCCTCTAGAGAAATTCTAGGAATCCAGAGAAATTCCAAAACAAATCATCAACACCTCTATGTACATGAAGCAATACATACACAATCATATACGCAAATACACAATTCAATTACGCATACATATATGCATGCACATAAATGAATATATATATATATATATATAGAGAGAGAGAGAGAGAGAGAGAGTAAGGGAACCTGTGGTGTTAACGGCATAACCTAAAGGTACCACGGACGGCTAAAACTCTACTCTAGAGCTTTATGCTACCCTTTCCCCCCTTTCTTTCTACATAGAATTTCAAAGGCGACTTGAAGGAGAAACCAATTAATGATTTTCGCTTTGCTTGACGAGAGGTATATATATAAATGCCGTGGGCTGAGATCGTGTTAGTAAAAATTAATGTCTTTGCCACCACTAGGTCCGCGCTCTTTACCAGTGTTACTCTCTGCCGCCTTTTTAGGGAGAAACTCATGTTGTTGCTGTTGCGAAGGAGGATGCGGTGGCTGATCTTGTTGCTCTCGATGGAATTGATAGAATTGGTGGTAATGAAGACTCTGATTCTCTGAAGCAACCAAATCAACTTTGGAGAACAAGTCTAGGTCATTGCCGTACATGGATTTATTGGCAGAATCAGAGAGGTTTGAAAATGGAGAAGTTCATAGAGAGAGAAATGATGTTTGATTTGGTAGGGTCAAATTTGTCTGTGATATATGGATGTGGAGTTGAAGGACCTTAGACATCACAAAATAAAGTTGTGGATCTATTTTATTACTAAAAATAAGAGAGGAACATTAGACTAATTTCTCAAAATAGGGGTAAAAAAGGTAAAATTAAGAAGAATGCTAAAAACAACCTTTAAGATTATTGATAATATTGAAAAATATGTAAAATTTATATTAAAATATTTTAAACATATATTAAGATTTAAGAGTCATGCTAACTTTAGACCGTTTTTAACGAGCAATATCAAGGGGTTAGTTTGGGGTGTCATAAAAAAGTATATTTTTTGTTTTTTTACGAAAAGATATGCAGAAAAGTAAAGAGGTGATGTGATGGAAAAAAGATAAAAAGATGGATTATATAGGTTATGCCAAACGAGGCCTAATGACAATTTAATTTAAAATGCATGTTCGCCTTGTTTGGTAAATGTTATTTTTTTTTATTTTTTGGATTGAAATCTATAAAAAAATAAAATAGACTAAAATAATTAATAAGACAAAATGTTACATCAAATTTATAATCATTTTATTTTTTCTTTCATAAACATCATATCTAACTATAAAAAATAAAAAAGTTTAGGAGTTTTAAAATAAGAGCTCTAAGGCCCCATTTGTTTTCAGAGGTAGAATGTAAGGGATTCATAGTGAGGGGATTGAGTAAAATTGTGTTTGTTTTGATTATAGTTGTTAGTGTAGGAATTGTTAAATTATTTTTATATAAAATAATAAAACAAATAAAAAAATATAAAAAATTAAACATTAATATTTTTTTAAAAAAATTCAATATATAAAAAATAAAAAAATTTCTTATCCTCTCACTATTTTTATAATACTATCTCCACCTCCTCCATCTCAATCCCCCTTCCAACCTCCGTCTATATCACCTTATTCATTCTAATTCCCTCCCCAACTCTATAAGGCTCCGTTTGGCAAGAGCTAAACGGGACTTTTTTGGCTATTTTAACCACAAAAGACAAAATAGGCTATTTTAGCCACAAAAAACAAAATATCACATCCAACCCATAATCATTACATTCTTCTCTCACAAAAAAAGTCAAAAAAGCCAAAAAGTCCTTCACAAACCAAACTTTTTAGCCCAGGCTAAAATAGCCAAAAAAGCCGAAAAGCCAAAAAGCCAACCCACTTTCCAAACGGAACACTAAATAATCTCACCTCCATCCTAATCGTCTCCCATCTATTTAACTCTAAAACAAACGGAGCCTAAAAAGGTTATAGGGGGTGAAACCCACCAATTGATATGATGTTTTGGATTTTTTTTTTTTTGCCACATCGAGTTCAATTAAAGTTATGTATCATCGCTCTACAAAAAAAACTAATCACCTTTCTAAATATAAAAATTTTAACTTTACTAAAATAATCAAAAATTAAAACAGTCAATTTTTCAAACACCCACGTTAACAAAATCTTTATGTATCGATTTTATTAACGTGCATGCATCGTACGTTTGTGCATTAGGTATAAAAATAAATGTAATAAAGAATATATAATATTTTAAAACTTCTTTATGATGTGTCTTGAAGCTATGTTTAGTTTTGACTTTTTGGTTAAAAAAAAATATAAAAGATAAAATTTGTTATATAATTTTATAAGGTAAAATATTATATTTAAATCATAATTATTATACTTTTTTTTTTATAAAAATCAAAAAAAATTAAAAATAAAAACTAAATAAAATTAAAAAAATTAAAAAGCCAATTAAATTTAAAAGGCTGGGGATTCTTTTAGAGCATCGAAGGGTCTAAGGCAGGGTGATCCTTTTTCACCATTTTTGTTTATTCTAGTCGCTAATGTGCTTGGGTCGGATTATTGATAAAGTTGGGGATAAGGGTGTCATTGAGGCCCCGTTTGTTTTTAGAGGTAGAATGGAGGGAATTCATAGTGAGGGGATTGTTAGTGAGGGGATTAATAGTGAGGGGATTAAGTAAAATTATGTTTGTTTTGATGATAGTTGTTAGTGTAGGAATTGTTAAATTATTTTTATATAAAATAATAAAACAAATAAAAAAATATAAAAAATTAAACATTAATATTTTAAAAAAAATTCCCAATATATAAAAAATAAATAAAATAAAAAAATTTCTAATCCTCTCACTATTTTTCTAATACCATCTCTGCCTCCTCCATCTCAATCCCCCATTCGAAGGCCTTTACTAATACCAGGGATTGAGTAAGGATCCTCTAGAGTTTTTTTTCCTAAAGTTTCCTAGAGTGGTGTGTTATATGGTTGAGATTTAATGACAAGTCACATCAATTTTTTAGCATTAAATCTCATCTATACAACACACCACGTTAGGAAACTTTAGGAAAAAAAAACTGTAGAGGATCCTTGGTGCTAGGGATTATGAGTCCCCTCTCTATCTCTTAAAACAAACATCCTATATAGTAGTCCCACCTCATTATCAATCTCAATCCTCTTCCTATAACCCAAACAAACGGGATAATGATATAATAAGATATACATTAATTTTTAATTTGTTAAATTTTTAATATTGATAAACTCAATTCTCATGTGGCATCTTGCTGAATGAATTTATAAGTATAAATGTGAGAGTGAAATTTGTGAATGGAAATCAAGCCATAGAAACAAAGAATCTGCCTCGTCAATAATTAAGGCCTCATTTGAAAAGTAAGAGTTTTAGGCGAAGTTTGGCAGTTTAAAAATAATTTATTTTTTTATTTTTTTCTATCATATCATCTTTTTATTTTTCTGCACATCTTTTCATAAAAAGATAAAAAGTACACTTATTTAGATCATCCCAAACAATTCCTTAGTTTAAAAGTAAAAAAAATTATTTAAAAAATTAAAAAGTGTATGAATTATATTGAAAAATAAAAAAATTTGTTTTTTCTCTACTTTTTATATATTTCTTCATAAAAAATCAAAAAAATCATTACAAGCATAATTTTTCTACCTCATATTTTAACCCAAAAAAAAAAATCAAAAAATTGCTAAAACAATCCGTTCCCAAAACGTGGCCTGAGTGTCGGCAGCAATTAGCCGTTTGGAAAAGTGATCAATGGTTGTGGATTGATTAATGGGCAATTTACGATTCTAAAATTCTACAATTATAATTACTATTATTTTTAGTGCGCTTTCCATTGAATTCCAATTTCCATGTAGCACTACTAGTACTCAAAATGCTATGATTTGCTTCTTCATGCTATTTTTTTGTTGTTGTTGTTGTCGTCGTCTCTTTCTCTCTCCTTTTCTCTCTCTCCGTCCCTTCGTCTTTCCTTTTCTTTGGGTTCTATTCCATGCCAATTCACTTATTATTAATTGGCATCATCATGTTAATCTAATTATCACTACCCTTCTCTTCTTCTTCCTCTATCCGTTTCTCGTTTTTGTTTCTATTCACTGTGCTGGATGATATGGGGAAGAAGACGATCATGAAGAGGCTAGTAAGTACGTTGTTTTTGTTTTTCTGCTTTTTAATGTGTTTTTTGTTGATGGGTTTTCATTTTTAACGCTATTCAATCCAGTTTCAAGACTCAAATTTTTTTTTGGTGATACTTTCATCGAATACCTGGGCTGCATAATTTGTTGATGTTTGAAATTTTTTCTCTACTGCATTGTGTGAGTGTCTTTGCCATAAAATTTAATGGTTTCAGAGTGTGTTTCTGTGTTAATTGGAAGATCCAGTCGCTTATTGAATGTTTTTATTGATGGGTTTTCCTTCATGTTGTAATTTTATTTGATCCAGTTTGAAAGCTTTTAGTTTTTTATTTTTATTTTTTGTTCTTGCATCAAATACTTGGACTGTGTTGAGCTTTGAAAATGTTTCTGTAGAGCATTGTGTGAGTCTCTTTGTCATAGAGTTTCGGAGTTTCAGAGTTTGTTGATGTGTTAATTAGAAGATCAAGTTTCATATAGTTACTTTTGGTTCTAATCAACTTGATCTTTGAGTTTTGTTGTGGTGTTTGTTCATTTGTTTACATTGTATGTATGGGCAATGAAATCTTGGACAGTTTGATTACAGTACATTTTCTTTGCCCTTGAAATTCACTGTTGTCCAAGCAAAGAAAGAGATCCAATATGTACTTTTGTGGAAGCAGATTATTAGGTTTTGTTTTCTTGTTCATGAATTCACATGATAGTTGCTTTTGTTTGTAGTTTTCATTTATTGCTTTGAAATCAATCGGCTACACAGTCTCCCATATTTATGTTTCTATGTCGTAATAATAATAATTTATCATCTGTTCTTCAGCCTTGTGCTAATCTTTTGGATCCTCTTCTATGGATCCAAATCGTACTGAGTTCTTTGAAATTGTTTTGTTTAAAAAATGAAAATTTTTAAATTCTTGCATCAAATACTTGGACTGTGTTGAGCTTTGAAAATGTTTCTGTAGAGCATTGTGTGAGTCTCTTTGTCATAGAGTTTCAGAGTTTCAGAGTTTGTTGATGTGTTAATTAGAAGATCAAGTTTCATATAGTTACTTTTGGTTCTAATCAACTTGATCTTTGAGTTTTGTTGTGGTGTTTGTTCATTTTTTTACATTGTATGTATGGGCAATGAAATCTTGGACAGTTTGATTATAATACATTTTCTTTGCCCTTGAAATTCACTGTTGTCCAAGCAAAGAAAGAGATCCAACATGTACTTTTGTGGAAGCAGATTATAAGGTTTTGTTTTCTTGTTCATGAATTCATATGATAGTTGCTTTTGTTTGTAGTTTTCATTTATTGCTTTGAAATCAATCGGCTACACAGTCTCCCATATTTATGTTTCTATGTCGTAATAATAATAATTTATCATCTGTTCTTCAGCCTTGTGATAATCTTTTGGATCCTCTTCTATGGATCCAAATCGTACTGAGTTCTTTGAAATTGTTTTGTTTAAAAAATGAAATTTTTTAAATGATCGCTGTTTTTTGCTTGTGGCTGGGTCTATACAGCTATTGATGTACCTGTAAAATTTTTCTATTTTCCCTGGACTGTAAATTTTCAATTAGTTTTTTTTTGTGAAATTTTTTTCAATGTCTCTTTCTAATTTCTTTATCCTTTTGTTAATAAATTTTCCCAAAATCTTCAAAAATTTGTTAAAGAGTCCAATCTGATAGACTGTTGCTTAGTCATGCTCTGCTATCTTTTTTATAATGCTTTTCACTGCTTCATTTGAGTGATTTTGCTGATTGAAGAGGCCATTAATGTTTTTCCTATTACTTTAACATTCAAATACAATTAATCCGAAATATTTTTTAATATAATTTATTGAGGTTCTTTGTTTGGTTCTTAAGTTATGAAAATTGAAATGGTAAGTATATCAATTCGAACCAAAAGAGAGATTGCATAAATAGTAATTTTTTTTTTAGAAAGTAGGAACTAGGAACTGCTTGCATGTTGAATTTCTGTTTTACAATGCTCTTTACCTTTTTCTTTTTGTTCCCTCTTCTTTTCAGGTGGCACTACTTTTGCTTCTGGCAATAAGTGATGCTGTTGAACCCCTTAGGTTTCAAAATGAAGGACAATGTGAATCCACCACGCCTTTGGAACCTAGACCTCACAGCGTGTCCATCTTGGAATTTGGGGCTGTTGGGGATGGGATGACATTGAACACAGTTGCCTTTCAAAATGCCATTTTTTACCTTAAGTCATTTGCTGACAAAGGCGGGGCCCAGCTATACGTTCCATCAGGCAGGTGGCTTACTGGAAGCTTCAATCTTACCAGCCACCTTACACTCTTCCTGGAAAGGGGAGCCGTAGTTCTTGGATCACAGGTTTTTATTTCATTAAAATTTTTACTGGTTTCATAATTAAAAACACAAAACAAATGCATACTTGAATCTCTTAGTTTTGCTGCGGCGACTATGAAAACTATGGTATAAGTATGGGATAGAAAACAGCTAGCGCAGAATCATAGGGTTGTGGAACAACACGGAATTTTACTGTTCTTATTCAAATCTATTTAATGGAGAAAAAGATGTGTTGATTTCTAGGGTTATGATTTTATTTTTTGTTTTATTTTTTAGTTTTGGAGGTATTGATGAGAGACCTTTTTTTTCTTTTAGCCTTTGCACGGTTCTTGACCTCCCATATATATTATTCAATACACTTGCCGCGATAGCTTATCATATTTCAGTTGCCAAAAGTAGAGTAAACTGTAACCTGTGGAAAATCTGAGGACTGTGATAGAATAAGCAAGAAATAGTGATATAAATAGAAATACAACCAATGATGGAGCAAGACAAGAATAAAGTAAGCAATCAGTAGGAGTTACTTTTCTTATTAGGTGAGAATCAATGTGCAGTTGGAAAGAGGCCAAGATAACTAGTGCCAAGAACATTCTAAAACCAACCTTGTTGTTCTCCATAATTGTTTTTATGCTCCTACTTTTCTTTCTTTCTTTTATACATCCTAGTTGGAATATTAAAAGGCAAGTCATATCAGCCGACCCAACAAGAAAAAGTACCACATTCACTGTTATAATTGCAATTTAGTGTCCATTATCTAACTAATGGAGTTATAGTCTGGATGGAAAATAATATTCATACAGAATAGAATTTGAGGCTAGAATGATGAATGATGTGTCAATGACATTCTTGCAATTATGAATCATAGTGATGGGCATTTTGACTCTCGACACATCATTCTATATGGAGCTTTTGTATACAAATTCTATGTGTATAGCATTACCTATTTCGGATTCATATCAATACTTGCACATCCTTCCCACCAGGGTGAGTTTTAAATTTTATTTACTTTGCAGGATTACTCTCATTGGGAAATAGTTGGACCTTTACCATCTTATGGCGAAGAGACTGAATTGCTTGGTGGAAGATATCGCAGCTTGATTAATGGACATAGTTTAACTGATGTGGTGATAACAGGTAAGGATGTCTCCCTGTTTTTTTTTTTTTTGGTTTCTCTTTCCATTGTTGGTATTTCATAATTTTTTGTTAGTAATGCAAATTATGTACATCTATTGATTGCACCAGGTGACAATGGAACTATTGATGGGCAGGGTTCTGTATGGTGGGACCAGTTTCGTTCTCATTCCTTAAACTACAGTTGTCCGCATCTTGTGGAATTTATCAGCTCTGATGACATTGTTGTGTCAAATATAACCTTCTTAAATTCCCCTGCCTGGAATATTCATCCAGTATATTGCAGGTAGCTTGATTAACCTCCACCAAAGACTTTTTGTAAGCATTATAAGGTTTATAATTTAAACAAATATGACTATTACTTCTTGTTATGATGCAGTAACGTGCTAGTTCAAAACATAACCGCCCATTCTCCACCAGCATCACCTTACACTAGTGGAATAGTCCCAGGTTCGTACGAAAATATTTCTAAACTCGGGTTTATTTATGTGTGTTTTTTGGTTTTATGTTTATCTGAGGATAAGACTATTACCTTTACATATACTATTTTTTTTCTAATATTCAATATTTTGGTATAAATATAAAAAGCAAGACATTCAAAACATTACCAGCCTTATTTTCTTTCCTTTCTTCTATAACAGCTTAATCTTGTCTCATTTTATAACAATACGAGGCTATAATATTGCTTGATTTATTTATTTGATCACTTGTACACTGCTTTCTGTGTAGATTATATATGATAGAACAATTATTTCTGCCTTATACATAATGGTGTCAGCTGTACAGTTTCCTTTTTAACATTTTGAGTGCAAGATTGCTTGAGATCATATAATTCAATATCTTTATCTGACAAAAAGACGAAATAAAATTTATCAGATTCTTCTGAGCTTGTATGCATTGAGAATAGCAACATTAGCGTGGGTTATGATGCGATTGTGCTCAAGAGTGGTTGGGACGAGTATGGAATTTCTTATAGCCGACCAACCACAAACGTTCACATCAGGAATGTTCACCTTCAGTCTTCTTCCGGCTCAGGTCTGGCTTTTGGCAGTGAGATGTCTGGTGGCATATCTAACATACTTGCAGAGCATCTTCACCTTCATGATTCATTCATTGGCGTTGAAGTCAAAACATCAAGAGGTAGGGGCGGTTACGTAAAAGACATTCTTATATCAGATGTGGAGATGGCAAATGTTGATATTGCTATTGAGGCTACAGGTCAATTTGATTCTCACCCAGATGAGAAATTTGATCCGGATGCACTTCCAGTTGTCCAACTCATCACATTCAAGGACATAGTTGGCACAAACATCACTACTGCAGGGATGTTTTCGGGAATCTATGAATCTCCATTCACATCAATTTGCCTATTTAATATTTCATTTTCCATTGATTTTGACCCTTTGACTACTTCATGGGTATGTTCTAATGTGTCAGGTTACTCTGAGTTCGTGTCTCCTGAACCATGTCCCGAAACCTCCTCATTTTCTAATTCTTCCACAGCTTGCTTCTTATTTTTGCATTCAAGAAGCCGTGTAGCGATTTTATGATACCAAGATCTTAAGCTACATTTTATTGGTGTAATCGAGGGACTAAATGCTTCCCTGGGTTCCACTTTGAATTCAAGTGGATAAATCATCTAGTACGTTGCAAATTCAGAATCTTTCATCGATTGAGCATTCTCAAATCGTGCATTGGACTCTTCCAGATTGGTGTCTCATCCTGGCCAATTACCCATGTACAGCCTCATTTTTCTTCATTCATATGTGTAAGGAAATTTTTGGTAGTGCATTACATATAGAAGCTACGCTTGCTGAGTTTGATTCTTTTGCCTTTTTTTTTAATAATAAATTTTGCTTTTGAACTTCTTCTTTTGTTTTTTTGGTTATTTATTTTACAATGTAAATTTGTGTATTGTTGATAGACACCAAGATTGGTTAGTAGTTGATGAGCAAGGGAAGGATGTTCATGGGAGTGATGTTTGAATAAAATTTTCTTTGTTCTTGTGAAATTACCAACATACTCTTTCTTGCTACTTGTTAATAATTTGCATTACTTGGTATTTCTTGCATTAAGATCCCTCTTAAGTTGTTGATAACTGCAGAAATTTTTGTAGGATCCCAGCATAAGTACATCAGGTTCAACAGCATAAACCTCATCTAAATGCTGCATAATGTCCTATTTTGTGATTTGTAATGATTGGTGATCAATATGGATCAAGGACCGGTTTATGTCCACATTTGGTGTCAAGATATGCGAATTCTCGCTTTCAAAAATGATTTCCTATGTTGCAATGAAAAATAATTCTTGAAAGGAAGACAATAAAGTTTAATATCTCCCTCCTGATCATCTGCAACAATTTTTTGGAAATTGTTAGAACCATCACAAATCAACAAGCACTCGAATTTTCCAGAATTAGACTCCGATTTCGCCACATGATGCAAAACAAATGAAATGGAACAGGGTAAAATATGACCATCTAATATATACACTAGATTAGGAATAATGCAAAAGAATTGCCTCATTTGTGACAACTTTTCACAAGTCACAGAAAATTGCAATATAAATGACAATAAAATAAAATAAAAATCTTTATCCCAACTCCACAAGCCCCAACTCGGAGAACAAGTTGGAAAAACAAAAAGCATTCAATCAAAACTGAGACAGACGTTGAATTTGTATACAACAAAAGGAAAAAAAACAAAAAGGATTTATGTTTATCCCAACTCCATAAGCCCCCAACGGGAGAACAAGTTGGAAAAATGAGAAGTTTTCAATCAAAATTGAGATGGATGTTGAATTTGTCACAATCTCATGTGTCGTCAAGGTACAGCAACAGATTGAGAAGCAAGCTGAACCCAACAAAATTCCTCCTTGTAAGGTCCATTGTTTTCCTCACAAGAAGCTTCACATGTATAGACAACAATAGTTGCCCAATCAAGAGAATCCACATCATTTTTCACACCAAAGTAGTAAAGCAACTGTGGCAAAATCTGGGATGACCAAATACAAACATAAACCAAAGGTTTGAATGGAAGATCAAATTTCAGATAAATAGGCACATACATAGAGCTACAGATTAAATTGAAAGACTGTAGCAATGACAGAAAAATAAAAAATTGAAGGAACATTATTTCATACTTGAAATTCAAACGCTCGAGAGCCGCCACAGTAATTGCATTTAGGAATATCAGTCTTGGATGGCTGGCCACTGGACATAGGCCATAAGGGTTTAGCACTTTCATACCTACAATACCTGTTATATTTAAAGAAAGAATTGAATTAACCAACCAGATCAATAATATTATAGCTCTGAGGTACATTTGCCACAAGTAAATGTTATCAGGGGGAAAAAAATAATAATAACGATGAATGATATTCCAAGATGTGAATTGGCTAGTTATTAAATTAGAAATGTTCCAAGCCAACACCTTAAGTGGGTCCATGCCTTTACACACCTGAAACATAAACTATAGACATGCAAAGGTATATATATACGTGACGCAAACAAATTTTATGTGGCATACAGCACACACATAGTGATGCTGATGCACAGAAATATTTAGGGCAAATTACAAACACCCCTCGAGGTTTGGTGAAAATACAAATTCCCCCCTGAGGTTTGAGAAATTACATCTCGCCCCCTGAGATTTATATTTTCATAACAAATTGCCCCATGAGATTTTTATTTTCATATAGATTCCCCCCCTAATTTGTTATGCAAATTTGACCATCAGGGGGCAATTTGTAATTTCTCAAATCTCAGGGAGAATCTGTATTTTCAACAAACCTCGATGGAGGTGTTTGTAATTTGCCCAAATATTTATGTACAGATCTACATATTTTATACCATCGATGGAACACTTTAAAGCTATTCCACTGATGTTTAGTGTGCTTAGAGCAAGATAACAATTTAAGTGCCATTACGTGCCTCAAACAAAATTTGCATGATTATTAGGAACTTAAGGAAGCCTGTAACCATATTAGCGATTCAATACCTATTTCCCATCAACTAAAATGCAGGTGTAGACACCACTTGAGAGAGGAAGGATAACATAGGTCTTATAAAAGCATCAGTCTAATTGCTGCCCAAGAAATCAATCTGGCATCAGAGTGGAAGCACTTTACAGAGTGAAACTATAATCTCTAAATCACACAGCCAGAAATCACTGGTGATAGGCCTACAACGTCTATGCTGGCAAAAGAAAATTTTGAAATATTTCTTCAATTTATGTCATATGCTAAATATAGCAGCTCATCATTAAATTATTACAATGATGCAGAAAGTACATTACAGCTGCAGTAACAATTTTCATCTTCATATATCGCACAGTGCTAATTCTATATATTTAGATTGATGTATATGGATTTATAGCATCAAAGGATCTCACTATGCATTTTGAATTGTAGCAAAAGACATTAATGCATCATATCCTAAATTCTTATTTAATTTTCTTGACTGCATGCTTCTACTAAATTATATTTATAATAATTTATTCTTAAAGCTGTATTTTGAATAAACTAAATGGCACCCAATGAAGATATAACATACATAGGTGCACCCAGAGTCAAATAAGAATTGAGATTTAGAAATCAAAGAATTACATAGACACAGCACTAATCTTTACCTAGGCTAGGTAACACAGGATACAACTATTTTAAAAAGATCTTCCCCAAGAAGGCAAGAGGCTGCAAATTTTTGTTACATCTTATCTTGTTTTCTCAAAATTGAGTTGGTGTATTTTCCCCGCATGTAATATGGTGCAAATGTTCATAAAATGATGACATGTATCCTTGTATGAAAGGTAAGCAGTCACCTCAACACTTGCTCAGGGCCCCTGGCTATACGCTCTTGGAAGGAGGCCCAACTCTTCTTGTCACTGTCCCCCTGTTTAGCAACAATGAAACAGAGCCTATAAAGGTTTGTAAAATAATTTCAAGATTGTGTAAACAAGAAATGGCACCCAATGAAGATATAACATACATAGGTGCACCCAGAGTCAAATAAGAATTGAGATTTAGAAATCAAAGAATTACATAGACACAGCACTAATCTTTACCTAGGCTAGGTAACACAGGATACAACTATTTTAAAAAGATCTTCCCCAAGAAGGCAAGAGGCTGCAAATTTTTGTTACATCTTATCTTGTTTTCTCAAAATTGAGTTGGTGTATTTTCCCCGCATGTAATATGGTGCAAATGCTCATAAAATGATGACATGTATCCTTGTATGAAAGGTAAGCAGTCACCTCAACACTTGCTCAGGGCCCCTGGCTATACACTCTTGGAAGGAGGCCCAACTCTTCTTGTCACTGTCCCCCTGTTTAGCAACAATGAAACAGAGCCTATAAAGGTTTGTAAAATAATTTCAAGATTGCGTAAACAAGCTATCCATACCTCAAAGTTGTCCAACAATGACTTGACTGATTCATCCATTCGGCTCCCAGAAACCAATGAATTAGAATACTTACTATCTTCAGACATCTCTGTGTCAAATTCACATTCGTCCTCATTTATGATCTCGTATTCGGGCCATATGGTGTTGCTTGCAACTGTTCATATATAGAAATTTGATCAGCAGTGAAATTCAGAAGAATCCAATCTCATGGATAACCTTTGCTAATGAAACCCTAGATTTAGAGTTGCTATTGACTGAACAATTTCTAAAATGCCATCTAAGAAATGAGTAGAGATTATGAGTTTCATAAAATAAATAAAAAAAACACGGGTCGTTTGTATCAGTGCAAGTACACATCCCCTAGAAGCCTACGGCAGCCAATTACCTCCTCGTAACATAATCAATAATACATTAATACTGGCCTTTTTGTGTCTCTACTGAATTGTTGGTAGGGCTAGTGTTAGATGATTGAGGATAACTGTTCAACTGTTGACATTCAATTTTATGACCTGATCTCCAGTGCATAGCCTACAAGTAAAAAGGAAGGACGATTCAAGATTCAGGATTCAGGCCTGGGTAACCTCAAATACTGGGGCATAAAAATAATAACAAAATTTTCTCTAATTACCTGATGTTTCTTCGAGCAATAACGTGCTCTTCTACAGCTACTACAAACTTTATCTCCTTTCCAGGTACCACACCAACTACACAGTGCAGCTAAAGCAAGCATCATCAAAGAGATAATATCATGAGGATGCTAAGGAAAAGAAACAACATGTAGTTTGAAGTACATAAATGCATCCACACAAGTTTCAGGCAAAGTCCTTGTGTCTGCTATCATTTAATCAGTTATTAATCATGATGGAAGCAAAAAAAAAGTACATGAATTGGCTTTTTACAATTATACACCTTTAAAAGTTGAGAAGTATACAAATGCAGCAACAATTTCAAAATCTGACACAACTGGGTGTAAATTACAAAAAAACTAATGAAGCAACTCCAAGAGAGCAGGGTTAAGGTTTTGTATAGCTGAGTTCATAATGATGATACTGATGATTGCCATCAGACCTATCAATAAATCTAAGTCTAGCAGAAACCAAAGAGTAAGACTGAACTACAGAGGGCAATGAAAGAATATTATACCTCCAATGCCAGAAGGTTTGTCAGTTCCATCATGTTTTGGGGGTTCACTCGAGTAAAAAGGATTCAAGCGAGCCAGCTGACTGCGAAAAACCTTCACACTTAACAAAACAGTTTCATAATCAGAAACACAAAGTAAAAAAGGATAAAGTGAATAATTTGTTCAAAATTGATTCTCCTTGATGGGAAACCAAAAAGAGAGAGAAAAAAAATTATAAAAAGAAAAAAGAAAAGAGATGAAATTATGAGGACTGAGTAATCCCAACCATTACCTGCGAGATGCCTTCTCTGGTTGCCGTTTCCATTGCTCATGTTGATCTTGGAGAAGACAAGTCATCGATAGACACATGAATACAAATAATGTGCGATGAAATGTAGGTTCCTTCTCAGAGAGGGGTGCATAAACCTAGGGAATTCAATGAACAAAAAAAACTACCATCAAATTCAACTCTCACACCTCTGTTCCTTTTAGTGCTGCATAGATAAGTGAGTTGAAAAGGGACTGCTAAAGTGAAAGGAAGGATGAGATGAGAATTGGCAATGCGTAACTTAAACATTGGACTAAAGCAGAAGTCACATTAATCCATCTTTTGGAGCCAAAAATTGACATGAAACAGAAAGTCATAAAATAGATAATTTTAATCTTTCAGTTCAGTCATTTGCTGCAATAATTTGTAGGCCCAAATTGACAGTTTCCATTTTGGAATTTTTGTTTTGTTTTTGTTTTTGTGCCTAAATCCCAACCTAAATATAAACCATACAAGGGCAGGCCAAGCACTGAACATCAGCTTGAAACCTAAGAAAGACGCTAGAAGTGCGCAAAGGACCTGAAATCCAGGATTTGGGACACGCTCTCTTTAGCAATAATATCAGCTCACCCATTGGCCTCTCTCCATTGATGAGAAATATAGCCACACTAATTCCCAATTTGCAGTTCAGACTCAAAAAAGTCTCTGATGGCATTTGCTTTCACTCTACAAACCAGCGGGACGTTTAAAAAGGTTGAGTCATTTGGATCATGAGAGGCACTCATAAATTGGCATCAGACACCTCATAACACCACACCTAACAACACTCAATGAGATGATGCAAAGCAGAGGTGGGAATGAAGGCTTCACACACCCTTCCCTTATGAGTTGAAAGCTGAAAGAATCATCACACCATAACTGAACAGTTGGAATAAATTGACAAAAATGGCAACTTTTCACTGAATTGATGATCTTTTCATGGTTGCACAAATATAAATATGCAAGAACAATAGGTACAAGAACTGCAAAGGACATGTCTCTTTGTTTAAACAGTTAAAATTACTATGAAAAGATATACACCTGAAGCAAAAACTGCAAAGGCTCGCCGCAAATTTCACAGTGACAAGATCTTCCAGAGGGCAAATTAATCGGATCCAACCAAGCCTAAATTAAATTAAATTTAAATTTTAAAAAAAAAAAAACATGAATTAGATTTCTAAAATTCAGCAAAAACAGAATGAAAGATTAAAGAAAGGACTTTTAGACGTACAGGAACTCCCCCAGCCTTGCTTGGAAATAATTGACGAAGAAGCGACCACCGATTCCTGGGCTTTTCCACAAACCCTAGCGTTACAGGTACTTGTTCTTCATATTCGTCTTCGTCTTCATCGTCGAATGTATCACCATCACCGTTAATTTGAGATTCGTCGTCTTCTTCCACATCAATGGGAGTGATTTGGAGGGTTCTCAGCTCCTCCAAATCAGTGACTTGGAGGGTTCTCAGCTTCTCCAAAGAAGGATCTTCACTCGTACCTCCCCCAATCTCGTTGGACATTTTAGCTAAATTTTGTGTGGAAATACACCACCCAAAGTTTACAATCAAACTACAGCAAATTACAGACACTGTTGAAAGATTGTTCTTGCTCAACTACAGATAAAGGTATACATATATATACAGATACATTCACAGAAGAAGAGATAATTGAGGAATGAATTAAGAGTGTACACGGTTCGGATTGGTTCGGTTCTGAGAAAATTCAAGAACCGAACCGATCCTAACGGTTCTGTGATTTTGAGAACCAGACTAGACCGTTACACTGTAAAACCGGACCAGAACCACACCGAAAAAACGGTTCGGTTTCGGGTTGGTTTACGGTTCCAAAAATTTCTATTTACAAGAATAAATTGTTAATAATAACAAAATAATTACTCAAACTAATTACATTTAACTCTTGATAAAAACTAATAATATTAAGGCATTACTTAATATTACATATCTATACCATCCTAATATCATTAAAATTATAAAAAACCAATTAATAAAGATAAAACTTGATATTATATTTTATATATATATATATCTTTTAAAATTCGGTTCGGTTCGGTTCGAACTGCAGTTTTTTCATAAAATCCATTAACCGAACCGTTTTTACGATTCTCATATTTCTTAATCCGAAACCGAACCAATTCTTAATGGAACCGAACCAAACCGTATGATTCGGTCTGGTTCGGTCCGGATTACCGGTTTGAACGGATTTTTGAACAGCCCTAGAATGAATGCATGAATCAGCCAGGCAACCCTGCAGGGTTTAGGGTTTTGCGACAAGAGAAGAGAAGAAAATAGGAACGAACCTGGGAGGGACAAATCAAAACCAACCAGCCCGAAAGCCCATTGGTCATAAGCCCACCAATCCAATGGATATAAACCCAAAATATGTGTCTACCCTCAATTTAAATTTATATTTAAATTCTTACTATATCCTAATATGAATTTATTAATAAAGATAATAAATATTAAATTTTATAATAATTTTTTTTATTATATACCCTAATCAATTATTTCAATTCAAATCTTTGTATCTTCTTTTTCAAAAGATCAAAGTTATTTCTTATTCTTGTTCTTCTTCTTCATCTTCCCTCCAAAACCTTGATCTATCCTACCAAAACTCATTATCATCATCAATATTATTATTTTTGAAATCTTAAACCCTAGAAGAAAGTTTGAACGAAATCAAATAATGGATGAGAGATGAGAGTAATAATTAACATAGTTTTTTGAAACAATCCATCAAAAACGAGGTAAGTATTCATATAAAAAGGTTTCACAATTTTTGTAGAGTATCATCAATTATTTTTTAGATTATTTTTTTACAAAAATTAAAAGGTCAAATAATTAGATTAACAATAACATATTATTGGAATTATTCTTATTTTGTCATTTAAATATTACATTATTTTTTGTTACATTGAAAACCTAGACAAGTCCACCACCAATTCAACAGTCCAAGTTCATAATCACTACAAAAGTAATTCAATGTTTGCAGAGCTAATCTTAAGCACTAAATATGAATTAAGAGGCAAACACGTTAATCAAAAACCCCAATCATCAACAATGAAAAAAGAAAGAAAGATTTTTCTTCTCACAAAGATGATACAATCACAAATGCAAAAGTTGCAAGCTTTGGAATTTTCAGGAAGCTACAAAGAAGTGGCATGAACACAAATTTTACAAGAAACTTATATTATTGTTACTGAGATCTGTAAAATAATATTAAAAACAGGTGAATTTGAACACACTATCCAAAAATTAAAAAATAAAATAAAATCAGATCAAACCCACTAAAAATAAAATAATTTAGTTTTTTTAGTTTATTTATTATTTATTATTTGGGTTTAGCTTGAGAATAATTTGAGAAAAATAATAAGGCATAATAAGAGTAAAATAAAATTTTAAATAATTAAATAAGGTGTACTTAAAAATTAAAAATACTTAATAATTTTTTTGATAAAATCCCCCAATCCAATCCCTAACATACCCAGAGCCTATTGGTCATAAGCCCATTTGTTATTACAATACCATACATATACATAAAATAATTGTTATCATTACAAATGTGTCACCATTGTATTCGTAATAAATATTAGTGTGAGGGTGGTTTCCATTTAATGCAATAATGACATATGAAATTGTAAATATTTTATGATACATATAATGTAATAATGTCATACTGATTATATTTTTAGTACAATATGATGTAGTATGTTACCACTATATAGGTTTAGTAGGTTCTTTCACTTATATGTATTTGAATGTAATCATGACAATTTACTTAGTAAACCAAATGTAATTCGTGCAGCATTATTAGCTGATTAAATGCTAAGAATGGTCCCATTCATATTGGTGTGATAGAAGAAAAATAGACTCTTGAGTCACGACTTTGGTTTTTTCCAAGGAATTCGTGCGGCATTTCGACAATCTCAAGCTTCACTTGATGATGCTAAGTCAGCATACCTCACTAACTTAGAAGAAAGACGAGTAAGAGGAATACAAGAGAGTTTGAGCAAATGCCTTGTATTCACTATAAGAAAGTTTTACAACTCTTGGATCATTGATGGAGTAAATGAGCTCCTCTCCTATTTATAGGTATCTTAGGCCTTCTCCAGAGCATACAAGAAAAAGACTATGGAGAAACTTCTCATGGAAGCTTTTCTTATCCTACAAGAGGATCTAGAATCCTCTCTAAAAATATCTATACAAACATCTACCTCATTCTAGAGGTAGGTACAATGATCTTTTACCACCTCCATTTCCCTAGGAGGTTCTAAAAGCTTCTCTTGCTTCCATCCTTTTAATATTCACTTGAATATTTTAAAACCTCTTTCTAGATCCTTTATTGTATGTTATAGAATTATGTACCATATTCTCATATTTTCTCAAATTTTCCAAGAGCTTCTAGAATATTTCATTAGCCTCCCTTCCTTGAGACTTCCTTTTGGTAGGTAATTCTGTATGGGTAAGTTCGTGGGACGTGACATTTGGCCCAGTTTGTTTGAGGTTATAAGAAGGGGATTGTAATTAATAGTAAGGTGAGACCCACTATATGGGGTGTTTGTTTTGAGTAGGGGTAAGCATGGTCCGAATTGTACCGAATTAGGGTAAAGCCAAGACCAATCCGTTATCTACAGTTCTTGAAAAATTGGAACCAATCCAATCTGTTTAAATTGTGGAACCAATCCATTTAAACACGGATTAGATCGGTTTACGACCACGGATTAACATAATTAAATAATAAAAATACATATATACCATTTTAATTTTATAAAAACATAAACATAGCACTGTATTAGTTCCACAATAGTAACATATCTTTCTATAATAGCAATATACTGTTCTAGAATGTAAATATTTATAAGAAAACTGGTTTCACCATAAGTATTTAGATCATTACAAATCAAAACTAAAAATTAACAAACAAAAGTAATAAAGAAAATACTATGCGGGTTTAGGTTTGTGTTTAGGTTTTATATAGAATAAGAGAAGATATTATGCTGGAGAGTGTATAATAAAAATATAGACTATTTGTATACGGTTCGGATTGGTTCCAATCTGGAACCGTGGGGTTCAATCTGGAACCAATCCGTGGACTACGGATTTTTAATTCTTCAATCTGAAATCAAACCACGGATTCAAAAAACCAATCCAAAATACCGGATCGGATTGGACTGGGCTGGATGGGATTACGGATTTCTTGTTCAACTCTAGTTTTGAGAGATGAGAAGAAGACTCCTAATCCCTTGGTATTAGGATAGGCCTTAGAAGGGGGATTGAGATGGAGGAGGAGGAGGAGGAGGAGGAGGTGGAGGTGGAGGTGGAGGTGGAGATGAAGATGGTATTAGAAAAATAGTCCCAATGACTAGAAATTCTTTATTTTATTTATTTATTTTTTTACATGTTGGACATTTTTTTTGAACATTAATATTTATTTTTTTATATTTTTTGTTAAGTAAAAATCATTGTTTTATTTGTTTAATTTTCTTCTGAAATTTTTTAATTTTTTACATGTTGAGTATTTTTTTTTGAACATTAATGTTTAATGTTTTTGTATTTTTTATCTATTTTATTATTTTATATAAAAATAATTTGACAATTCCTACATTAACAACTATCATCAAAACAAATACAATTTTACTTAATCTCCTCATTATCAATCCTCTCACTATTAATTCCCTTTATTTTATCCCTAAAAACAGACGAAACCAAAGAATATTAGCCAAACTCAACATCTAAATTTGAGTATGAGATTCTCCTATCTCTACCCTTTTCTAGTAAGTTTAAGTATTGAGATTCTTTTGTCCATTCCTTCCTCTTCCCTTGACGCCTCTAACATGTTTATTGGAAAGTGACTTGCACACAACATATATCTTAAAAAAATTAGATAAAATTAGATAAATTCAACTTTTTACTTCTGCGTCTCATCCTAAAGACATTGAATAATGACGTAACCGCTTCCCTAATACCCTTTTGCTACTTTTCAACACTTGCAAAACCTCATGAACAAAACCCTACTAATAAAAATAATATTAGAAATCGTAAAAAAAAATATCATGAAATAATTTATAAAGATTTTTTATTCTTTGATTAGTATATAATATTTTATTAAGTATATAATCTAAAGGTGGAGAATCTTCATAAAATTTTTCACGATGATTCTTTCTTGTTGCCTGACAGTCCACCTACTACACTTAAAAACACACATGCCAACCTACCTTTAGCACTCCCAACAACGTCTGGGGGGCTCAAAAACAGTGTATTGTGCGTTGCTGATTATGCTATTTTTGTGTGGTTTCACATACTTGGGCTGCACTAAAAGAAGGTTGGAGGATCAAGTTTTACCTCATCAAATGGGGGGATCAAAGTACACATATAGTTGTCCACAACACCAATATCCAGAAGATATCAATCTAATTGTGACCAATATTTAAAGCTAGAAAAAAAACAAAGCAACTAATGAACCTTTTTATCTTCACAACTGAAACGCAGTTCAAACGTAAATTGTAGCTTCATAAGATGATGGCATTTACAACACTTTTATCTCTGAATGAAGAAACATTTGAGTATGTAATCTAGCAAATTGGAACGAAGATAGTAACAAAGACAAAGCAACCAGAATTATTTCTGCACTGACATACATACATATAAAAACACAAAAACAAAAACAAAAACAAACAATAAAAAAAATAAAAAATAAATTTGTAAAACTTCTTTTTGCTACATACAACTGTGACCTTCCCTACTTTCTAGTCCCAGTTTTCCGTTTAAATTCAGTTGGCCTCCCATTCCGCAGGGGAATGGGGCTTTTGCCATTTGACAATTTCTGTGATTGCAAGGGGCCGAACCTAGAAACAGTGTTCCGGCTGGAGAAAGAACAAGAAGTTAGACAAGCAAGAACTGAGAAGGAGCAAATCAAGCATTATACCAATGCAAAATCAATGGTTTTACCTTAGTTCTGGTGTCTTTGCTGGCTTTGGACTATGTTTTGGGGCCTTCGAGCCATTTCCATTAGTTAAGTTGGTAAGTTTGGCATGATTGAATTGCCAAAGCAAATCGGGCTCTGAAGAGTCACTAGTAGTTCCGGCATCAAGCTCATCCAAATCATCCGTCGTAGCAATGTCAAACTGGTGGTTGCTCCCTGTCAGTACATTAAACGACGGTTCTGTGTAGATTTTGGAAGAATCTGAGAGATATTTCTGGTAAAAGACATCAGACATTTGTCCGCTTTCTGTTTCCCAATGTCCCAAAGGGTTGTGAACTCTGTGTCCAGCATCTAGCTTGTTCACCATAACCTTATCTACCCACTCACCTGAGACTGTTTCTTTATCGTCCTCCCCGTAATTTTGGCCAGGACTACTGACTGGAGGCCAGGGAGGTGAATTTCCTAATAGCTCATCAAGATCGAAACTTTGCCTCTTTTGCCTCAATAATGCTGAGTTGTTACGGACCTGCACAAAAATCATAAAAAGATCATAATCAAAATGACTAAAAATGGAGCAAGGCCCATTTTATAAAGATTTATCGAATAAATCTAATGATTGTGTGACTGCACAACAAATCTTGTAATAGCATCCTTCATATCTTTGATGATGTCTTAGAATGGTAAAAAACAAGGTGTTTTTTCCTGCCCCCGACCCATCTGCAGAGTCATAAAACTAGTTTTTAATGTAAGTGCTACTTGGACATATTTGCAGTTCGATGTTTCAAATTTTGTGTACATATTTTACTGAACTTGGTGCTAAGTGGCCATTGTTGACATAAATGGTCATAAAAGCAATCCTCACAAAATAACTAGGAAAAACATCAAAAAAATCATAATAATAACTACTTAGCATGGTAATGATCAAATCTTCGTGCAGAGTCAATATTTTACCAGTTGATATACATCAAGATGTTAATATTCAAGTTTAGCATACAAAAAAGGTTAATAAGAGTGATACATTTCATTATTTTTGTAAATGGGGGGGTGATGTTTTACCTCTATGTTGCCAACATCTCCCATTGGTTTCCTGTCACTTTTCTGATCAGCCAATATATCTCCATTCTGTGGCCTAGGATGATAAGGTGAGGACACTGCGCTACATGGGCTACTATACACTTTCTGCTGTTGCATAGGCTCGCCTTGCCCTTCTTTCCTTGCCAAGGCTGCTTTAAGACTAGCAATCTGAAATTAGAATTCAAAAAATTAGTGAAATGAAAGAACTAAAGAAGAGTCAGATTTTCTTATGCAATCAAAGATAATGTAAGGACCTGCTCTTTGAGCTCTTTAACATCTGCACTGTCTTTGTTTACACGGGCAGCACCAAGTTCAACGGTGGCAACCCGCTCAGCAAATTTGAGTGTACTTATTGTTTCTCCAACAGCATCGAGCTCAGGGCTTATGTGAACAAACATTAGTGTCTTGGCTTGGCCCCCTAAAATGAAAATACATCCACAAAATATAAATAAAAGACAATGAAAAACAGAGTGAAGGTTGTGGTAAATGCATTTGTCTAGGCTTACCAAGTGAGTCTTGGAGCAATTGTGTGAGTTTGCTGTTCCTGTAAGGGACGTGTGAATTCTTCTGAGCAAGGGAAGAGATCACATCACCCAAAGCAGAAAGAGATTTGTTTATATGTTGCGCCTCTTTTAGTCTATCTCCTGTAACTTCAGATTTGTCTACTCTCTCACTTCCTGCCAGATCAACTAAATGCATACAACCACGAAGAATAGTTCCAGATGTCAAGTCCCTTCCTTGGACATGAACAGTCAAGCAACTGCAAATTGATTGGTAGTAAAAGTCAGCAATACCAAAAGAGATATGCTTAGAGGCACGCATAAGAGGAATAAATCCACACACACCTATGAGAGCGACTACTACGGTCATTGAGGGCTGTTGCACCCACCGCACGATTCTTTTGTCCTAAGTTCATCAAATCAATAACATCAGATGTTGATGTCACTCGAACAAGGCTTGCATCTGGTACATTGAGTCCAGTTTGAGAACTGTTGCGGATTTCTAATGTGTTAATAGATTAAGGAAATCCTGTGAGGTGCAGACAATGGTGTGGAGAGACTAAAACAAAATCCGGGTCTTAAATGCTAGTTAGTTTTTTAATATCAATAGTTTATTTTAAAGGATATCTTTTGTCAAGATTCACATGTTTGAATGACAATCTGAAAATGCATGGAACAAAACCAATATTAAAGGATATCTTTTGTTAAGACCATCAGTAATGAGTAGATCTCTAACTTGTTCGTTATATATCTCAATCATCTGAACAGAAACATCATAGCTAACAGTGTTCTTTCTTTGTTCTGCCAGAAGAAACAAATCGCCCAATGCCCTGTAATTTACACCTTGATTTTGCTCTATAAGATCCGTGGGTCCACTCTGTGTATTAAAAATAGAAACCATCAATTATTTGTTTGACTACCCTACACAAATATCTCATGATATCGATGATTTCAGAAATAATTGTTAGCATATCTTACCATTGTGTAAGTTTTTCCTGATCCAGTTTGGCCATATGCAAATATACATACATTATACCCATCAAGAACAGATCGAATCAGTGGTTGGGTATCTGAAAAAACCTCCGCTGAAATACAAGGCAAAGGGATAGAGTTAAAGAAGTTCTAAAAAGTAAGGATCCATAAAAGCCCAAAGCCAGAGCCTTACAAACCTTGGGTTGCAGATGGCCCAAAAACTTTGTTGAAGTTGAAGGACCTATGCCCTTTTCCGTACTTTGATGGTGTAATAATAGTAATTGTTCCCTCTTCTATATGTTCCACTGTACTTAGATATTTCGACTGCCCACCCAAGAAGGGTCTAACTCGACAATAAACCCTAATACTTCCTAAGTAAGTAAAAACAAAGATGTATTCAATCCATTTGATGACTTGGATAGAATTTAAAAGCGAGTGTGATTGCTAGACTTTTAGGAAACTAGTAAAGGTACCCTTAAGGTCCTGCACTTGATTATATAGTTTGCGGTTTTCCTCAAGAACTTTGTGATATCCAGAAGCAGCATAGGCAAGGCCGTGAATGTGCAGACCTATGAAGGCAAGAAATTAAAATGAGATAAAAAAATCATCTAAACGTTGAAGAAACCCAACTCCACCCGGCATAAAATAAATAAATAAATAGTTAATAATTTATTAAAACCAGCAACTAACACAAGAATCAATCTAAATTCCTACCAACATTGTGGATGTCCTCGTGAAACTTCATTTGCATGAACTGCATACCAGCTTTTGTAGTGTGAAGAGTTTGTTTAAGCTCCTACAAAAAAGCAAATTAACATTAATGCACATATATAGAAGACAATAAACAAAAACCGATGGAAAATATAATGCAGCTAGGTCATACTATAATATCTCTGTTCTGTTGTTCAAATATCATCTTCTGTTTCAGAAATTGTTTTTTTGATTCCTCATCAGGGACATGATTTCTATGAAAGCATTCCTCTTTCTTTACTCGCATGAAACTTTTCTCTTCTACCTACAACATTCCAGAAACGAGAGAAAAAAATCATCCTATATATGAATTTTAATTAAAAAATGTTAAAGCAATGCATCAAATATGTGCCCGAATAAAATAGCTAAATTTTTCGCATAAATCTGACGATTAACAAACCTGGATATCACCAGAACCATGCTTCAAGAGGGATTTGTTGCCCTGAGAAACGATCACATCTTTTGAAGTTTTTTTCTTCTATTAAAATACATTATACAAAAATAAATAACTAATAAATTTAATAATTAGCCAGAATTTTTTTAATTCAAAACATGCTTCTAAATGGTTCTTACACACATCAATTCTATATCAACTGTTTAATGTCAATGCACAGTGTTTTTTTAGAGCTGATAAACATCTCCCTTAGCACTTCAATATCTTCTTTAAAACTAAAACAAGTGGTACTAATAACAACATACCAACTCGGTTTGGCTTGCAATGCGATGCTCAAACTCTTCCACAACCTTACTTAGCACAGACTCCACCAGCTGTTGTAAGAAAAAGAGCGTTATTGAAATTTATGTGGATTGGACACTTGGCATCCCATAATGGAGCACCATAGTATAGGTTATAGAAGACTATAGATAGTTCCCCCACCTCCCCAAGCCTGATTACATGATTGATTTTCTCATTAAATAATCTAATTAAGGCACTGAGGACATTAACAACTTACTGTTGGCACTTCTTCAGGCTTCTTATCTAACAGAATTGCTCGAACAAGCATACTCAAAGAAGAATTACGCTGAAAATAAGCACATATAAAAATAAGTCAATTCTTTTCGCTCAAACATAACAAAATAATCATGGATAGATATCACTATCATCAATTCCTAACCTTATTATTAGAATCGAGGTCAGTGGTTATAGCATTCAAAGATTTTTCGCCCATTGACAAGTTCCTTGTCAAGGAACCTGTGAATGGTTCTGAATTCTTTCGCATAAAATGCTTTCCAGACGTCACAGTTTTTAAATTTCCACCAAATTTCCATACTCCATTTCCACCTGTCTGTTTCCAGTCACTGTAGGATTTTAGTGCTAGAACACAAATCACAACCCTTGCAGATTTCCCTCCCTGAAAAAATTAATAGAGGATATATTAATGACCAATTTCTAAGTTGTGAGATTGCTTCTTAAAAACAACTATTCATGCAAGATCCTAATTGCATCGCTCTAGTAGATAAGACACCTACTTGTTCCAGATCAGATGCCTCAAAAGTAGGAAGCCCCAACTCTTGCACAGCTACAAGAAAATTTCTCACATTTTCAAAATATTGATATGCAGACAAAGCTGCACCATCAGGTATTAGAGCCGAATCGCAAGGACTCTCCACCACCTAAATCAATTATGCAAATATAAATATAAAAGAAATTATAAAATAGGACAATTACAAAAATGCTAATTGAAACAAATTTGAAAGAGAATTAAAGATCACCTTTGGCACTGCTCCAGGTTGAACTTTATTGAGAACATTGCAGAGAATCAGACCGCTTCTCAAACCAAGCCTGAACTCTTCCTCAGAAGGTTCAGCTGGCAAATCTTTTGCTCCGACAACTCCAACCATCTTTCTTAACCACCCAGCTGCTTCATACCGTCTCGTTGCTAGAGGTCATAGATGGGAACAATTAGCACTCTTAAAAGAAGGTATGAAAAACAGAAATTTTATGTAACAAAATTGAAAAGGAAAAAGACTGAAATTTGTTAATATTCAATGATCAACTACAACATCAAATTACAAAAGAGAAACAGATTCCAAGAATCGCAAATATCACAAACCAGACAGATATTAAAAATGAGACAAGCTGTGCCATCAGAAATTAGAATGACACTTGGACACTACTAAGATAATAAAAGAAAAAAGAAAAGGCACAGAGAGAGAGAGAGAGAGAGATCCTGACTTCCCAGTTTCAGGCTGTTTTGGATTTCAGAAGATGGAAAGGCCATCTCAACTAAGCCAAACACCCTGCTCAAGCTTTGTAGCCTTGTGAATTTGTTTCTGGAGATGATCCAAAAACAAAACAAAAATGAAAAGACAAAAAAAATTGATTTGTAAGAGCATCTCCAATCCTTGCTCTCTCTTTCTCAATCAAAATTTGAGTGAAAGCTTGATATGATGGAACTCAAAACCTTGCTATTTTTTTATCGTATCATTTTGAAAAATTCCAAACTTATCCTAAAACATGTTTTAACCATTTTTAAGAAAAAAATCATCTCCAATCCAATACTTAAATCTTTTTCAAATTTCATCAAATTTTAGTAAAAATATAATTGTTAGAAATTTGATGAAGGATTTCGATCAACCCTTCCTTAATTTGATACAATTTTGATGAAATCATTAAAACTCACTTTTAGCTCTTTATTCATAAAAATTCAATGAAATAATTGGCGAAAGATTGGAGATGCTCTAAAGTCCAAAAGAATTAACAAGTCCTAAAAGTAGAACTAGTGATTTCAAATGGCTTCCTTTACCATATAGCCAAACAAAACATTACAGAAATTCTAGTCCCACCAAAATGGAATCAATAAACAAGATTTCATATGTCTCTATTCATAAAAAAATTTCATCGAACCACTCGAAGAAGAAACAGTTACCGGCTTCCTCTGCTCTGCGAGAATCCAAATCAAGTTCTCTGGATCGAATTCCGTGCTGCTGAAGAACATCCTCCACCATGGACGCTACAGAGAACGACAATGCACCTTCCGCAGCCATTCCAAAAACCTCACCAAAAAGAAAAAATGCTTTTCCCAACGCAAAAGCTCAAACCTCCATAATCAAAGCTCCAATTCACACAAAAGACACGAATTGTAACAACATTTCTCAATCTCTAGACAAATCAGAGATTTTCCGAGAAAAATAATAACGCAAACAAAATGATTATTTAGGATCTTCAGAGTCTTGAAGAGCAGTGAAGCAGAGCTAGGGTTTTCAAGGGGAAGATAGGAGAGAGAGAGAGAGAGAGAGGGAGAGAGAGAGAAGAGAAGATTAAGTGGGAAGCAACTGCTTTTGCTGTTGATGTTTTTCTTGCTTTCTTTCTTACGATGGTGGCACCTCGCCCATTTTCTTCTCTCTCTCTCTCTCTCTCCAACTACAGAGCACTCTCTCTGTCTCTGCTTTATACTACTACTATCTGTGTATATTTTCCTTTGAATATATATATCTTTCCGAACCTCGTTCCTAGCCTACGCAAACCAGCACTGTTTCTATTTCGAATTCAAATTTAATTATTCAAAAATTATTTAGAGTTATTATTTTGTGATTGAGATTTAGGAGTTGTTTGGGATGAACTAAATAAATGTATTTTTTGTCTTTTTACGAAAAGATGTACAAAAAAATAGAGAGGTGATGTGATGAAAAAAAGATGAAAAAATAGATTATTTAAAACTTTCCAAACTTGACCTTATTTTATATATAGATCTTACATCATCTAAATTTAATCACTTTCACATAATCATTCATCTAGATAAATTCCTCCAGAATTTATTCTATATAGCCTGTGTTTGGCAAGTGAGTTTGCAGGTTTTTTTTGCTATTTTAGCCACAAAAAACAAAATAGGCTATTTTAGCCATAACAAACAAAACATCACATCCAACTCATAATCATTACATTCTTCTCTCACAAAAAAACTCAAAAAAGCCAAAAAATCCTTCCCAAACCAAGCTTTTAAGCCCAGGCTAAAATAGCCAAAAAACCAAAAAGCCAACCCACTTCCCAAACGGAGGCATAAGCTCCTTTCTTTTTTTTTCTTTTTTTTTTTGTTACAGGAAAATCTTCCCTACCCTTCCGCAGGTCCAAGGCAGCGCCCCTTACAGATATCACCAAGGTGTCCTGTTAGCCGTTTCGAGCGAGGAGACTATAACCTGGGAACTTGCCCCGACCTCCTCTCTTCGGTAACAAGTTAAAAGTCATTCTTTTTTTATTGCTTTTAACCTATTTTGATTCACATCACTTCTTTACTTTTTATATATTTTTTCAAAAAAAATCAAAAAGTTAATTTTTAATGTACTTTCCAAAACAACTAAAAATGTTAATTTCACTTTTATTTTTTAAACTATTATAATATTTTTATTTTATTTTTAAATTTTTTATTTAGTCTCTAAAATTTTTAATTTATGTTTATATGGTCTAGTTTGAGACAATTATATTATATAATTAATAACTGTTGAAATTTAATTTAATAAAAAAATTATTTCAAAATTTAAACAATTTAAATCATACAACAAAACACACTTTTCTTATTATTTTGAACAATCTACACCTCATAATCAATTTAATGGGTGTTTATTTGTATAAAACTTAAGTTGTTCAAATTTTTCCCATCAAATTGGGATTTATTATTGATTATTAATTTGTATAATCGCCTCTAATTTGACCACATGGACAGAAATAAGAAATTTTAGAGACAGAGGGATCAAATAAAAACTAGTGATTGTTTAAGAGATAAAAGTAAAATTAACTATTTAAAATTTACAATAAGTTTTGCATGTACACAAAATGTCACAATTTTTTCAAAATATCCTTTGTAATTGTAACTGCAATTGGTGAATTCAATTATACTAACGCTGCGTTTGGTTAGGGGATTTAAGAAGGAATTTGAAAATGAAAAAAAAAAAAATTTGTATGAAACTAGGTGAAATATAAGTATTTTTCATTCACATTTCACATATATTTTCAAATACAGCAAACACAGCATAATAGTTAACACGGCATATTTCACCTATATTTTCTTTTTCCTTTTCCAAATTCCCTAGCTAAACACAGCATAATAGATATGTAATTAGAGATTGCAAGCACACTCTTTAGTTCTTAATAACCGATCACAACATAGCACATATATATTTTTTTATTAAAATAGTTTATAACATTTATATCACATTATTCCTAACAAACCACAACGTTTATAACATAAATAACTTTTATTTTGAAGTGTATCCACTCAATTTAGTCAGTCATAATTTTTACTATAAAATAACATAATTAACATTATAAAGTGACATAGTATTTATTATTATATCCACCATTGTGTTTCTCGGTAATTTTAATTAGATTTTAGGCAAGCCCAAACGTTTTTACAGTGCGTGTTCGTTTCGGTCAGTTGAATCATCATTATCATCAATTCTTTCATTTGGAATTTACTATTTTAATTATAAATGATTGTTGAAACAGTAAATGTCGAGAATTAATCATATATTATGTTCATTCAACTTAGGTGAGTAAATAAAATCTGACACATCTTTTAAAATTCTTATTTATAAAATATATGTCTCAAAATTATTATTTAATATCAGTGTCATTGTGTAATAAAAATAAAATAAAACAAAGTCCAAGTTGAGTAATAAAAAGTGATTGAATCGTCCAGTCCAGTCGATTATGGATTCATTTCGACAATTTGAGTTCATTTTGTATAGCTTGTTAAGTAGATTATTCATGCTAAAAATTATATTAATTGAATATCATATATTATATGTTCATTCAACTTAGGTGAGTAAATAAAATCTGACACATCTTTTAAAATTCTTATTTATAAAATATATGTCTCAAAATTATTATTTAATATCAGTGTCATTGTGTAATAAAAATAAAATAAAACAAAGTCCAAGTTGAGTAATAAAAAATGATTGAATCGTCCAGTCAAGCCGATTATGGGTTCATTTCGACAATTTGAGTTCATTTTGTATAGCTTGTTGAGTAGATTATTCATGTTAAAAATTATATTAATTGAATATCGTTAGTCACTTTATTTGATCATATTTATTTGTTATTTAAAAAAAAAAAAGAACTACTTTAAAAAACATACTATTTCTTAATTATTATGTAATTCAATCAAGTGGTGGCTGATATCTGATCAATTTAATTTTTGATATAAATAATTCGATTAAAGAATTCTACAAAATAAATTGTTTAAATTATTGTGACAAGCCTATAGTAAGTCAAACTAAACAATCCAGTTAATCAAGCTGGTGGAAGATGATCGGTATCTAATAAAAATAAGATTATGGTTTTTTTTGTTTTTTGTTTTTTTGTTTTAAGATTATGGTAACTTGTTATCGAGAATTCCCAGAAGTGCGGGAGAGGTCAGACTAAAGTAAACATTTGGTAGTCAGCAACTTATTAGTTATGATTGGGAATATATAGTAAACCATGCCTTTAACTTGGGTTGCCCCATCTCCATAACACCTCCACTTCCAAAAGGAATCCAATGAAGACCAACGTAATTATACTATAAACTTCACTAACAAGGGAATTCCATTTGTCCGATTCACAATTATAAAAATAAAAAATAGGATGGTAAAAAATATATATGTATAAAAATTGATTTAAAAATATTGTATCAAAACAATGGACAACACTCCAATTAGGACTGCGCAAGGAATCCGTAAAATTCGTAATCCGATCCAGTCTGATCCAATCCGATAGGTTTGGATTAGTTTTTTGAATCTGTGATTTGGTTCCGGATTGAAGAATTAAAAATCCGTAGTCCATGGATTGGTTTCGGATTGAATCTTATAGTTCAGGATTGGAACTGATCCGGACCATATACAAATAGTCTATATTTTTATTATACATTCTCCCCTATAGTATATTCTCTTATTCTATATAAAACATAAACTCAAACTTAAACCCGTATAATATCTTCTTTTCTTACTTTTGTTTGTTAATTTTTAGTTTTAATCTGTAATGGTCTAAATACTTATGGTGAAACCAATTTCCTTATGGTTGTTTAAATTCTAGAACAATATGTCGCTATTATAGAAAGACATGTTGCTATTGTGGAACTAATATAGCGCTATGTTTATGTTTTTATGAAATTAAAGTGTTATACATATATTTTTTGTTATTTAATTATATGAATCCGTGGTCCTAAACCGATCCAATCCGTGTTTAAATGGATTGGTTCGGATTGGTTCTATGATTTAAACGGATTGGATTGATTCCAATTTTTCAGGAACCGTAAAAAATGGATTGATCCTGGTTTTACCTAAATCTGATCCAATCCGGACCATACTCACCCCTAACTCCAATCATGTAAAAACATGAACATTTTAAAAATTATAATTATTTTTTTGAATAAGTAAAAATTTAAAGAGTGCAACACGAAAACTTCTCATGGATCACTCATCTTAATTATTATTCTCACTCTTAGCTACCGAGTTTTGATAGAATAAAAAAAATTATAATTATGTTTTCCTATGAAGTTTTCTTCTCTGGATCTCTAATGAAATTTTTATGCCGACATTTTTTTTTATGAATTTTTGCATTTTTATAAATTATTAACACAAAAAAAAAAAAATTCAAATAGGCACTTTACATGTCAAAAAGGCCCCTTGCTACAATGATGGAGGTTAGGCATGGAAAAGGAGGTCATTGGGCCATAGCATCTACAATGGAATAATTAAAATTGTGTGTTAAAATGTTATTAACTTATGAAACAGAGACTTAATGTTGTATGTTTAATTTGTTTTTTTTACTTTATAGAGCTAATGAATACTCTAATAGTGTAAGTAAAATGTGTTTTAAGTCTATAAAATAATCTGCTGGAGTGTCACAAAAACAAAAAATACTCCCTTTCTCTATCCAGTCTTCCCTCTTTTATCTCTCATCTTTACTAGTTTATAGAGAATTCTCGGCAACCAACTCTCTTTACATGCCTTATGACAAAGACCAAAATGTTTATTCAAAAATTGGTTTATATATACATATATGTGAGGAGCATGTATATTTTTTCCTTATATATTCTGTTCATCAAAGTGGAGAAGATATATACTTATCTCTTATTAGAATATGCATATTGTGTGAGTGATTTTTCGATCACACTGTTCAATTCAGTATTCAGCTGGAGAGAACTGACAGAATAGATGACACCTAACTGGCCTGCAACAGAAAGAGAAGATTCCGGCGATGGTTCGTCCAACCGGGGGCACTCTGACGATCAAGTCAGTATATCTCTCAAAGATAATCAATAGTGCTCAACTTCACTATTCAGAATATAAATTGCGTACCTTAGACCCACGGGGGTGCCTCTCTTTTATAATTAATTCAATCCTTGTCCCACTAGAAGTCTAGCTTCAATGGACTCTTGCTCAGTGCTTATCCTAGACTCTTCAAGA